GACCACCCGTTTCCCAGATCGTATCTACCGCCACGTATAACGTACTGTAACATCTAACCCTTGCAACATGCACGGTGATCACCGCCGTTCGTAAAACGAATTATCCCTCTCTCTCTCTCTCGTTGAAAAAGAAATAATTCTCTCCGTCGCGAAACGAATTAGATTCGCAGCGGCAGCGACGTCCAATTAGGTTTCAAAGCTTTTTCGCGTTTTGTTGATATCACGCCATTCGTTGATCTATTCGACGTAATAAAATGAACCTGGATATAATCTTACGACCTTCTTGGCGAACGTTGCGCGTGAGCTCGATTCTATCGGGTACGATTCTTGACCGTATCGAGCACGAGTGTGTCACAATCCCAGCTGAATCCCGAGATTCTTAGGAAACTTCGACCAGCTTTGGTTTCCATTGGCAATTCCACGACTATCTCGACTGCCTCTCCGGAGGGAAACTTGCCTCAAGTTTCGGGAACACAACAGGGGACGCCGGATATCCTTGATATCGCGGCAGACTCGTCGAGTGTTAACGCCAGTTTACCGCTCGTATACAAGGCTCAACCTTGACACAGCCGCGTGCAATTTTCATTTACGATATTTGTTTCGTACTGCAGCTAAAACCGCTGTCTCGATGTTTCCGTTTGGCTGGTAATACTTCCGGCGCGGAAACTCTCGTCCCGTATGTTTGATTATTAATATTTGCGCCGGATAAGCGTCGACTTTAGAGCGGAGTTTGTATTTGCTGATGAATGATAATGATGAAAGCTGCGGTTACATTTCTGGTGAATTGAAGCTACTCGATTTTGATTATTGTTGTTGATATTTGTGGCTCGTTCCATCGGTAATGGGGGTAATATTCCAAAGAAAAATTTCATTTTGTTTTCAAAATGTTCGATCGATTGGGGTTGTAGGCTAGGTTAGGTTAGAATAGAGGTAATTCGCAGGATAAGATTTGACTCAGTAACGAGTAAAAATATATAATAGTATTTTTGTAATAATAATAATCATTATATTAAGTATAATATATATTATTATATTTAATAATATATTATGAATAATATTATATATTTACAAATATTATTATTATATTTTTACGAATTAAAGTGTGTTATTAAAGATACATTAAAAATATATTGAAATATATTATTAGCATATTTTTACATGTGATCCCATAATCTTCTATACTCAAATAAAGTCAATTTTGATCAAAAATGGTGTCCCCTTTTTTCTAACAGAACGATTCAACAGACATTATCTTATCTCTACAATACAAATTCAAGTACAAGCAACCAAACGCGAATACGTAATAACCTGCGTCAAATCTGTATTATCAATCAAATTCAGCGAGCGATATCGAACGTCACGTGAAGCGACGTAATCGTTGAGCGAGGCATTAAATGCAACTACGAGGGCGACGATACGTTCGACGATAACTACGATTATCGTTCCGGATAACGAGGAGAGTCTCGGTTCGCGTCTTCGTCTTTTTCCTTTCTGTGAAATCATATTAAGGTGGGAGAGCGAGTTAAGCACTGATTCATAATCACTTCACAGTCACTGCTTAACTTTCAATCGACTGCACCCGTCGCTCGCGAAGATTACACCTAACGAGAAAAAAACTTGAACCTTCACGCACACTTCGCAACGAAAGCTGAGTAGCTAATTTAGAGTTTGGTATCGTTGAAACGAAGCGTTAACGAAGAATTCAGTTTACCGAGACGCTTGCATACGCTGCGGCTTAACGAAATTTCGCTTACGGTTCTGCCGCGAGGACAGGTACATTGGGAACGGTCGTTGAATAGAAAATGAAACGCGAATTACGAGATTACGGCGAATAGACGGAAATCCAATCGTTAGGAATTTTCGAAAGTAAATTTAATCATTCGAGTGAAACAGATTTGGACTTCTCTTAGAGGGACGTGGTAGGTGGGTCCCAATACACTGATGGTGCATGTAAATTTTCCACGTGACTAGCATCTTCCATGTACTACACACAGTTACGTTTGCCGCTCGAACGGAGAGGAACGAGCTTCGATCCGTGGTTTCGCGATGTCGCCGTTCCTCTATTGACGAAGTAGACCATAAATTGTAATAGCTTCACGTGCAATGGCTGTTCCACGTTTGTCAGCTGTTCCATTAGGAGGTTGGTCAGAAAGTAACTGTGTTTTCTTTTTTTTTTTTTTTTGCGCGCGCGCGTGTGTGCGCGTGTGTGCAAATGAAAGACGAATTTCTCGTGAGAAGCAAAAACTTTATTAGACTTAATATATTGATAATTTTGGTTGCCTGAAACAATCAAGTATCAGATTACGTAGTGAATTACGCGGTGAAATAAAGTTAGTTTACGTGAATTATCATGTTCTTTTTTTTTTTATTTTAGCGTGTTTTGAAATATGGATAAGATAAACAAATGTGATAAGATATATAAATTTATTGAAATTTGTAGTAACTATTACTGTCCAGAGTTTGTTTTATATATATTTGAATATAATTTTCATTTGCTTGGAACGAAGACGATCGAAAGGAATAATTAACTTTGTTCAGAATTTTATTGTTTTCTACTAGGTCAGATAATTACAGACAAACACAGATAAATGAATGATCAGAAACGAATAATATCCTTCGATAATAAATATCCGTAGTTTTGAAACTTTGTTTTAACCATAAATTAACATTTTTACAAGACACCCATGTGAAACGTTATTTATTTGTAGAATTGCTGGAAATGCAGTGCCACGTAAATGCAAATAGTAAAATCTTTGTATCAATATAATATCTATTTGAGAAGAATTCTTAGAATTATAATATCTATTTCGTATCAATATAATTATTACTTATTATTGTGCAATTACACTTACTATTATATTATCGTATGTTATTCATTTATTATTCTTTATCGTAATAATTCTCATAACAATTCTAAAAATCGTACGACGTTCCTTCGCTTGAAATTCACGAAATTTGCTCGCGAAGTTGACTGGCAAACACCGCGACATTCTCAAAGTGACGAAGAAGAGAAATCATCCCCCTCCCTGCCCCTCTCCCTCTTCATTCTGCGTCGGCGAATCTCTCGGCAACTTTCAAAAGTGCAATTCGCCGCTTTCTTCGAAGCAAGCTTCCGTGGAAGCTGAGTGCCGCGATCGCGAAGACGGACAATAGAGCGGGACGCAGACGCGCGAGGCAGTGGAACACACTCGAGGCAATGTAAAAGGACGAAAACAAGACCGGAAAGTGCCGGGCGCTTGATAGGTTCCCGTAATTACCAATTAACGTGGAATTACACGGGGCAACGGTCCCTGTCAGCCGGCCCCGACGAAAATCTCAATAATTAGCTTCGTTGTGATTCTGACGCTCCAGATCCTCGCACGAAATTATATATCGAGCGTCGGCTTAATTGAGGGCCACGTAATTACTTCCAGCCAATCTTATCGGTGTTTCGCGGCGGGCGTGCCCGATTTCGAGACCGACGGAAACCTTCATAGCGCGAGTTGTTTCTCGCCGATTTGACAAGTCCCTCGCGGCAGACTGCCTTCTTGTCCGGCGGGCAACTTCCTGCTCGCTAGTGACGAGGATACAAAATAGAAGAGAAGATAAAACTGTGCGTGTCGTTTTGAGTAGAATCACGATATCAGTCTTGTGAATAAATATCCATGTTTCGCAAGACTGATTGTAAGATTAGTTTCACTCTGGTTCGACTATCTTGTATCCTCAAGTCTTCCACTGGGTTTGTGAAATGTTCACCTTTCGATCTAATTAATCTTCCACAAGACTGATTGAAAAATTGACAGCGTCATGCGAAATTCGAGGATTCTTGGACCAGAGTGTCTACTGTGTATTTAGTCTCGTGGAAGATTGATTTCAATGACTATGATGCAATGAATTTTTGCAACGAAATCAATGTGAAACGGGCTAATTGTAAAATAGACATCGTAATTGGCGATTTGAGGTTATTGGAAATATATCACAGCCATTTTTGGGGAATTTTTGTTAGATTGGTTTTGACACCATCTGCACGACTAAAGTACAAAATTTTCCACCAGAGATATTAAAGTAAAAGAAAAATAAAAACAAAAAAATTGTACAATACGCTTGATTATTTATACATTTCATTTGTGCAAAATCATTTAAATCTCTAAAAATATACTGTTTTACATCTATAAAACGTTTAACAAAAATTATAAATTGGTCATTTTGTCCAGTATGGTAGTTCTCTAATGTTAGTCACCATTTATATTCTTTGAATAATTTTCAAAACAGAAATGACATGATCTCAATAGTGATCATTATCTTTCAATTGACCTAGAATATCAATGACACAATCTCGACGAGTGCTTTTAATTGTCAATTTATCTTGAAATTATCTTGAGTTTTAATGTTGAAATATTAAAAGATTAAAAAAAAAACAAAGACAATAATTTTTTTCAAGTTTTAATCTCTTTATTTAAAAATTTTTATTATAAGAGAAATTATTTTATCAAAAAAAAGTGTTTCCAATGATTCGCATATGTATACACGAGATCTGCACATTTCACGAATATTTTTTATTAGTACAAACATATCTCATATACTAATACTCATTTTAAACAAATAAAAAAAATTCTGCGAACGTACACTTTTTTTGAAAAATTGTAGAATGTCTCTGGATGACCTATTACGCGCTAATTTTTTTCTCTCAAACTAAATTTCAGGAAAAAAAAAAAAAAGAAAAAGGGCGTCATTTCAATGACGACCACCATTGACAAAAACCTTCGTGAAACTGTAATATCAAAATGAAAGAGTATAATTAAAAGAGACGGTGTAAACTAAAAGCCTGCTAGTCACGTCATCTTTTTGCTCGTAATTATCCTATGTACTTTCGTACACAACGTCGATGTCAAAAATATTTTTTAGCGAAACGTAACTTTGTTCAGCTAAAACAATTTGTTCGAGGCTCCATCAACGATAGAAGGCAAGCACTTTCGACAAAAAATAAAACAACGTACAATTTTTACTTTCTCTCTTTTCAGTGTCTTCCGAAAATATTAGTTGTCTCGTCCACACGAAGGCGAAAGCAATCCATCTCGACAGCCGAGTTCCTCCCGTTATCGCGAACAACCGCCAGCGTGAAATCAAATTTCGTCTTCCTTCGTTGAAACATATTAACAAGTTGTAGCTTAAATAATAACCTATATATGTATGTACATCTTGTAAAAGAAAAAAAGAAAAGTTGGTACCGCGTATCTACCGACGAGGCTTCGAAAGCGTCGTCGATAGTCTTGAAATTATCGATGTACAATCGATCGGCTATCGAACGATGACGCGCGAGAATCAGTAGAAATCGTACCTGATCGGCTGCTGAAAGATTTCGAGTTGAACGAATCATTCTCCACGTTGTAGAATCAGAATACAACGATTTTCAATCTCATCTCGCGATATATTTCATCTTTCTTGGACGATGGCTGGAGTACGGAAAAAAATAATCGAGAGGCTCGAATGACCTTCAACGAGCGTCGTAAGGAAGAAGACCAGCTTCACCACGAATCAATAACCGCGCAAATCCAAATTTCGTATCCAACGAAAATACGCTGGCGAAAATCGAGAGAATTCGCCAGCCACGTTCCCTCTAGTCACCGATCGGAGACGATCACGATGGCTACGTTCGATCGATCTTGAACCGGAAGAACCGTGGAGCAGAGACGAGAACTACCGCAAGGTTCGTGGAAGGAAGACGAGGAGGAAAGATGCGAGCGGAGCTCCTTCTGATCCTCGGCGCGCTCGTGATCTCCGGCGATTGCAACCGGAGGCCGACCGGCGAGTCGGTGGTTCACGAGTTGTCGAAACGGCGCAATGGATCGCTGCCGAAGATGTCGATCGGGCTGGTGGTGCCGCACACCAACTTCGGCGTGCGCGAGTACACGAAAGCGGTGAACCGTACGGTCGGCAGCCTGCGCAGGACGAAAGGCCAGAGCAAGTACAGCTTCCTGGATAAGTACGACTTCACGCAGAACTCGGTCCGGCTGAGCATGATGACGCTCACACCGAGTCCAACAGGTACCACCATATACGAACAAATTGAACAAAAATGCGGTCAAATATTCCTCGAATAGCACGAAGAGGCCTCTTCATTCTCGGTCTCCTGCCTTGTAATTTTCAGTTTCAATGTTTGTCTCGTGTTCGTACAGTCGTGCGCAGGACGATGAAAGCCTATGGAAATTGGAGATGTTTCCATTTTAAATTAATATTTGGATTTTCGTTAAATTGCGAAGCGGAAGTTTAATTGGTAATTGATACGTTTATACAGATGCATCGCAGGTTTCGAGTAACAGAACCAATTGGTCGTGCTGTTCGAGGATTGCCCTTATTCCGTTTTATTCACGTTGATATGTTGTACAAATTTACAATCGATCAAAAGACTGATTCCCGATTGATGAAACGGAGTACAGCTAATGATAAAATTCATACTGGCTCCAAACAGTTTTTCAAAAAGTTGAATTTTTCTTTTCTCTTGTTCATCCTGTTTTTCAACTCCTTTTTTTTTTTATCGGTTTTTTCAATACACTTGACAGAAAAAGGGATATTTTATTTTATTAGTTGAAATATCGAGTACACAAGTTTCAAGTAAAATGTTACAGTATTTACAGATGTTTTTCAACTATTAACTGAAATTCGATCAGTCTCTCTAGTGAAAGATTTATTTTAAAAACAAATGTTAATTTGCAAATGTAATTGATTTTACATTCGTAACTGATTCTAATACACTAACGTATTTCTGCTGTTAGTTTGCTTAAGAACTGTCTTACACTACTTGTCTGTTTAGCAGATATTTATTACCTGTCGAATATATGGCGGACTTGTACTACTTACGCGATCTGCCGCTGGTATGTTCTCTTTGTTTGACTAACAACCTATTCTATTTACGACGGATATTTACCATGCTTCTACCAAATGATTGACCTGCACTACTTGTTCGATCCGTGTAGGCAGATCTATTTTGCTTGGTTTAATAATAGTTGGACTGTTCTACTTATTAAAAATATACCCTTCGAAAGAATGACTGACTCGTACTACTTGTTTCACTCGCCAGTAATTTTAACGTAGATAAATCCATTTTATTCGTTTAACAATAACGGAAAATGTGAAATTAAAAGATATGAAATATCCAATGCAAGATAAAAGTTGAAGTAATTAAACAGACGAAACAAGTCTTGATTCGAATTCGTGCTTCTTCAGTTATGTTCGTAAAAATATATACTCGCGATTCGCCTACAAATGATAAGCAGATTTGCAGGATATTTATGCAAACTCAAATGTTTACAAATATAATCAAAGTAATAGAAAATTGCTTCATCTGTCAAGTATTACAAGTAGTATAATGCTTCGAGTATTTTTTATATATTTTTGTTCACTGAGTGCATTCTCTGCATTTATCTTAAAATTTCTCATATGTGTACAAGAATCTGGTTAAAATAAATACCATTTGTAATACGTAATATGTGCAATTACTGACACTCCTCGAGTCTTCGAGTTTTACGGTAGATTCTGAAATTTTTCTCAGTCAGTTGACAAAATCTATCGGTATCTTCTCTCGAAAATAACAGAAAAGAGGAGCAAAAACAGGAAAATATTGCAGCGTTCATAGCCCGTCCCTTGGCAACACGCGACTGCAAAAAGAGAAAAAAAGAACGATGTTCCTTGCTTTCGCCAGGACGTCGAAATTAATGTTCTCGTTCCTCCGAAAGTCTCCGCATCGGTCAATATGTACGGCTTAACGTTCGCTCGCACCAATTCTCCCACCGCGGCCTCGTCTTTCGCTCATGTGTGCAAACGCGCGCGCTATGCCCGTATTACCCTATGAAGGGCGAACGTGACCGGAAAACATGGATGCTTCAGTGAAAGATACCTTCTCTTTGATTCTCAGAATGAGCTGACTTTATCTTCCGCGTTTTCTCCGTGGTAGACACCGCAACAATCGAACGCGGGTCCTCTGTTTAACGCCTGATAAAATTGTGTATCAAAATGAACGAAAAGAAAGTTAGAGTAAATACATTCACGATTCATCGAGTTCGTAATTTTGAAATTTTGAAATTTTAGACACAGTGGTGGCTGAGAGAAAGTTTAAAGAGTAAAAGGAAAAGAGACGACGAAACTATTAATATTTATTTAAGTGTTTTTATTAGTTCTTTAGATGTTGCAGTAATAAACTCATTAAAAAATCTATATTTAAACTATCAACTATCTTTGAGCTTTTGTATTTTACTCAACATATTGTTGATTCTAATACAGAGAAAATGTTCAGTATAAATTTCACTCGTACACTGCACGTACACGAAACATGAACTTCTATCTTTTGTCCTTTCTTTTATTCATTTATGACGATTCATTTTTGATAAAGAATATATGGATAGAAAATTGATCCTCGTATATTTCTCATTTTAGTTGCCTCTGAAATTTTTGAAATCTTTCGTACTTTGCTCGTCAATAGTTTTGGAATTGACAGCGTTGGAGTATACGTAGCAACGTTCATTAATGTTTAGCAGGATCGCGATTAATACTGTTTACTATCTACGCACTGGCGTCGACGTATTACATCGGCATCGCGTCAGGATTGTTCCGACACATTCTCTAACAAGAAATTTGTCAGTCCAGTTTCAAAGCAATCCAGGAACAAATGGAATTGAATTCACTTTACATCACGTAGACAATTGATTCACGAGGAATACGTAATCAAATTTGAGTAATTTTTCATTCGAATATAATCTTTTACCTCTAAATAATTCTCAAGAAAAGTTATTATTATTAAATAAAACTTGGATGGGAAATTATTTTATATATCTCGAAATAATTCCTAGGACAAGTCTCCGTTAGCATGCCGGATATTCATACAAATTCTTATTTTTGTAAACATAACCTATAAAACAGACCATTACTTTTAGACTACAGAAAATTATTTTATCTGTTGAAAGTCACTATTATTAAAGGAGATATTTCATATTTACAATTTGAAAAATTATATTCATTCTGCGTATTTCTGAGTCTCTCGAATTTTTCACAAATGAATAAAAATCCGCAGTCATAGACGTCAGTCGCCAGTTTCTCAGTCGTTCGTTCGTTGACGAGAATTGGAATGATAAACAAATGGAATAAATAGGTTCGAGTTAGTGTTTGATCGGTCGATCGCGTTTTTTGCACACGTTTGCGACTGATGGATCGTTGTTTGAAACTTCAAGGGGCACGTGCGTATATTTCAAACATTTTTGGCAGCATTCCTTGCGAATATCTCAGCATCAGTGGTAGATTTGTTACACGATAGTTTTTGGAACGCGATTGCTGCTACTGTTCTTGTTTCTTGCGAGTTATCGATGATATGTAGGAGTTGGAAAGTTAGGGAAGTTGGAGGTTGAATAAAAATGAAGGAAGCGTAACTACCGGCATCGTATCGTTCCAGATTTCCTAACGAATTATTGGCAAGATTATTTAGCGAATTTACATCTTCGTTTTGGTGGAGCACAATTTTTAAAAATAACCTCCTTTTCTGTTATTGATAGGTTCAATCGAAAATTGAAAATTGTAGATTTAGAATTGTGAGTACACAAAAAAATTACAATATTTAATAATTAGAATTGAAGAAATTTGGAAATCGCATATGATTTTGGGTTATTAAAATTTGGTTAGAAAATGTTCACGCTGATTTATTTATTTATTTTTTTTTTTTTTGCAGCGCATATTTTATTTTATTTCACTTGCGTATAATTTTATTTATTTATATATTTCATTTTATTATTTTATTTGTTTCGGTCGTTGGAGAATTTTAAATGTGAAAACGATTTTTGAAAATAATTTTTTCTGTTTGTTACCGATGAATTTAGAGGGATGCTTAGAATCTTAGAATATTACTATTTTATTCGTTTTTGTTGGATTAGATCGTTTCTATTATGTAGAGAATTTACACTAATTTAAGTTGAGAATTCAAAAGTAATTTTTAAAATCTCAGAGTACTGTTATTATCATCCGTCTCTGTTCGAAATGTTATACCACATTTAAACAGATCCTCCCGTTTTTAAAACGGGCTCTCAGTTATACGAGAACAAAGAGAGTAAACGTGTATACAAAAGGAGCTCTCCATTCTCGAAAGTGTTTATTCTTCGTAGTTTAAACTCCATCCTTTGTACTTGAAATATAATCTTCACTGTCGTGTTGTAAACTTTTTCGCTCTTCCTTTAAACACTACATTTGAACAACTCCAACGGTTACATTTGATCTCTCCACAGAAGAATTATTTTTTATTTAACTAAGAATAACTCGTTTCACGAAATTTTATACGCAGTATACAATTGCTCAAACGAAAAATATCAATTTTATCGTGAAAATAATTAACGTTGAAATAATTAACGTTGATACTTAAATTACACTTACATCGTTCATTGCTGCCAACCTCTGACTGATGAATCGAGTATTCGCTAATTAAAATATTACGTCACCGTTCGCTCTCATACGTACGATGTAGAGTTAATTGATCGAAATTAAGCTTCTTTCATCGTTGCGAGTCACGTGCACGATAGTGCATTTTTTCACATGCTAAATTCACGTGAGAAATCCTTGAAAATCAACTCGTCTTAGTGATAAACGAAAATAAAGCCGAAGTAGAAACACTTTAAAACATAGAAAGTTTTTAAATATAAAGATAATAAAAACTTGAGGAATTTTATTTTCATAAAATTATTAACAATTAAAAACCTCGTGTATCACGAAACACAAAATGCAATTTGGAACAAAACATCACGTATAAAAAACGAATCAAGACTTCTATCTCTTGGAAAAATTGGAAAAATTGGACGACACTGCGCGACAAAGAATTTGTTAATACATTGACAATTGTACTACGAAATACACATGCTAGTTAAAAATGTCACTAGCTACGATAGATGGTGATTATTAAAAATAAAATGTGTCCCAAGATTTTTTCATGATAATGTATGTCTCTTAGAATTCTGCGTTTTATTACATAAAAGTGATTGTTAATCGCAATTATTAATCTTTCGACGTAATTGAAC